ACATAGTATATATTTATACTATTAAGAAATATAACTAAAAGCCTTTCTATTTGACAATTGGGTAAAAGGAAAGTTATATGTATATATATATTATTTTAAATTCTGACAGATCGTATTCATCCTTGTCTCTGTAATCATGGTAGGTTGAATCAAATCGGTAGAAGTCTTTCGTGAGTGTATAATCGTAGGATATAGGTGTGTGGGACCAAAGTCTTTGAAGAAGGTTTAGGAAAGGTTGTTTGTAGCAGGTGGGAAATGGTGGTTGAGTTTATCGTGTGGGATTTGGCCTGCATAGCAAAAGTGGTAGTGTCTGTTGATGGAGTTGAGTCTTTGGTTTCTGGAAAGTCAGTCTAGGTGGTTTGGTCAGTGGGAGAAATCTCTTGGCTCATTCAGGTACATTTGTCGGTAGAGGGCAATGTGATGTGTGATTGCACTTGGGTTGATGGCTTGAAGTATTGATGATTATTTGATGGAGCTAGAAGTGACAAGGCTAGTCTACGATTACTCCTGTAATGTTTTTCAGCTTTAAAATGATTGAGGAAAAGATCTGCTGTTGGTTCGAATTGTATTATGATTTTCATGAACTGGGTTATCTTGTAAGTTAATCGGAAGCAGATCCTGTAAACTGAATGCAACTTTATGTTGGTTGATTGCTCTAGGGATTGTTGGATCTCTTCAGATATTATGGTAATGTCGACACCTAGGAGGACAACTGGGAAAGGATGAGATTTACTTTAAGAGGTTGTGCAGGTGGCATGAGGGAAGGAATTCCAGAGATATGTTAAGTCATCGTGGCTTGAGGGATGGAGAAAAATTCCTCCCCATTGAAGGATTCTCGTCTTTGTGGGATTGATTGATATTCTAGGCCTAAATTGATTGATGGAGTTGATTTGACATTCCAAGTTGTTCAGTAACAATTTTTTAGTTGAGGGCATGATATTCAGTAATATCAATAACGTGCATAGGGGTGCACTCAAGCCCTTGCTTTCCTCTCTTTATGCCCCAAAAGTGCCTTTTTTTCTCAATCATAAAAAAATTCTCAACAACTACTAAAAGATATGCCTCATTTCACAATTTGCTTACTTCGAGTTATAATTTCAGCTTTAAATTGAATGGCACACAAACATATAGATCTTTACAGTAAAGCACTAATTGTAGTACACTATTAAGCATTATGCAAGAATTCACTTCCTAGTTTTAGATTTTAAAAGTTTATAACACAAATTGAATAAGAATAGAAGAGTATCTAGTTGCTTCTTATGGCTTTTTACCCATGTGTACGAGAGGTGACCCACCGTCCCCACAACCACTTTTATCCCCCTTCCAAAAGAAGGCTTGCTTTATGATGCTTAAAAAGTGCCCCTTTTTGTAAGTGAGTTCCTATCTTTTTATAGTGTTTTCTGCACATTACTGAGTATTTTCCCACAGTGGTAATAGGGTAGGAACCAAAAATGTAGCTAAGTGATTGCAAGGTGAGTTTAGGGCACTGATGATGGATCTAAGAGGTATGTTGGGTAGGATCTTTGTTGAGCTTTCTGTACTGGTGACCATTTAGTAACTGTGGTTTTGGTGTCATAGTCATATGCTTATTAGATTGTTGTGCTGTTTCCTTTATCTATAGGTAGAAATTTAATAGTGTTTTCCTGTGTTAGACGATCCAAGGCACTAAATTCTTGTTTCGCAATGTTGGATTTTGGTTTCTTGACGTTTCTGAGGGTAGTATAAGTTTGGGGTCTAGATTATTCTGTCACGGGTTTGGGAGAGATTTTGAGACGCAGATTCTAGGTGGGTTGCTATATAGAGTCTTGGTAGTTTGGTGGGTGGAATGGTGAAGTTAAGACCCAAGTTAAATATTTTTGTTTCAGTATTGGTAAGGAAAGACTAAAACTGAAGTTTACTACTACTAGAGTGGTGGTCTTAGGTACATTGGGCGTAGTTAGCTTCTTGAGTTTCAGAACTTGTTTCTTTTTGATGTTCTTCAAGTTGATTTATATAACTAATAATTATAAAACAAGTTTGGTACTAAGTTAACAAACAAAAACTAAAACGTATGGTGTCAGTAAAGTTACACATAACACATACCCGGATAAATAAAACTATGCTATTTAATATAACACATACATGTTGCAGTTTTTTTTTTTATTTCAATGGATCTATAACATACATCTCAGTATACATGTATGATGTATCTACAATGACAAAAGCAAGAAATATATCTAATATATCAATTCCAACAGGGACATTGATTTAATAATTTTACTCATCCATATCCCTGAGACCTTGTCTTTGGTGCATTGTATTTCGTGAATAACTACCAGGGAAAGAACTTTGAGGTGGTCGGTGCGATGAATGAAGCCCGCTTCCTAATAGGACATGAACAACATTCAGTTACACACTGTTAATATGCCACATGTTAAATTTATAAAATTCCAAACCTCTCCAGCTCCTTTTTTTAAAGAAAAAGATGCACATCTAATCTCAAGTTAACTGTTGGTTATGAAAACGTTTAGTACAAAATAATCATCTTGTTAATCCTTTATTTACATTTCAGTATGCAATCTAAACCTGACAGATCGTTTACATGTTTAATACAACTCTATTTAACCTGTATAGGAAAGTAATAGGGAAAAACAAAATGCCTTATTTATATCTTGATATGCTAATGTAATGTTTTTAATTTACATGAAAAGAATTTCATCACGTCTGAGCTGGCTACAACAGTTTTAAGCAATAGTTCAGTACAACTACATAAAATTGGAGTTCCGTATTCGTGTTACTTTACCTTCTATCCACGGTTTGTCTCGTGGAGGAGGTTTGGACTTTACTGCTGTACAAAGTAAGTCATCTAAAGAAGAAGGATTGATATGGTCGCCATCTTTTAGAGCACGGCATATTTGTTCAAAAATATGGGTCATCTCTTTGTCACCTAAACGTTCCACAGCAACCTGAATCTTCTCCATCTAATCAAAGAAGCCACAAACAAAATGTTTTTCGTTTAACCCAATAACAGTGCAGTTTTCTGTACAAATAAATTATTCAATAAACTGCAGAATGGAATTTTTGTTTTATGAGAAATTAAAAGGGGATTAAAGTATTACATTGTAAGATCTTAAAATCAAAAACTTACTTATTTTCATTAGGTTACAAGCTTTCTAGAATGTAAAATAAGACTAAACCAAAAGTTATCTCTAAATCTTCTTACCTCAACTGACTAACTTTTCAGGTAAGTTATAAGCTGTCTTTTGTCAATTATATGAAAAAATAACTTACATACATAATTTAAATAACTTAACTTACAATGAAGAACAAAGTTTGATTCTTTCTTTCAGCCAATAGAAAATCACAAAAACAACAACATAAGAGTGTGAAAACAAAAATCCTCTGAGATGGACTAACATCTTGCAGCAAAATAGAATAATAAATTTTACTTACTGTAGTTTGGGAAATCTCATTTGTAGTTTTGATCATCTTAGGAACATCTTGGTCCACTATACTACGTAAAATTGGAAACACATCATCTAGTCGATCTAATTCTGCAAGCGTAATAATCTAGAGGTATAACATTAACAGTCAACATGTTGATTATCATTTCTAAACAATAATCTAGAGGTATAACATTATCAGTCAGCATGTTGATTATCATTTCTAAACACTGATAATGTTATACCTCTAGATTATTGTTTAGAAATGATAATCAACATGCTGACTGATAATGTTATACCTAAATGATAATCAACATGCTGCCAAACCATCTTACTCATAAAGACTACTGATATTCTCTATGTAAACTGTTAAATATACTATTAAATATACTGTTATAAGCTTTACTTTTTCTTGTAACTTAAATGTTAGCTAGAAGGCACAGACGTTAAGAGTGAAAATTTTAATAATGTATGCCTACAAAATTCTGAAAGTTTTACATCAGATTTTCAAGTAAATTTGAGGAGTATATATATTCCAGTGAAGCATCAAAGAAAAATAGAATTGTTTCTAGTCAGTAGAGTGAATCAACTGTGAAGTTATATGAGTAAGTTTATTCTTATGTTAGTGTTGTACAGTTAGCATATTATTTACATTGGAACATCATTTGTAAAGACCAAAAACATTGGTTTAAACTTCTAGAAATGTTGAGGAGGAAATAAACTAATCTGATATCCTTACATAGACTGGACGATGAATTTAAAAAACCTGCCAATGAAAGAATAATATTAGAACAATTACATAACATAATGTTCTGGGACCTATTGGACCATCTCAGCTGTCCCATCCTCTAAACTAAATTAAAACTATTAATAAATAAATTTTTAAAAAATCTTAAAACCAGCCTTTATCATTCATATACTTATCAAGCTTTCTCTTAAACTCACTTAAATTCACTGCCTCTACAACATCCAAAGGCAACTCATTCCAAAGGCCAACTACCCTGTCAGAAAAAAAAACTGTCTTAGCTTGAAGATGACTCCTACCCTGCCAAAATTTATATTTGTGTCCACTAGTCCTACTTTTCTAATGTTAAGTATGAAGAAAAATGATGCATTAACACTATCAATTTCCCTTTAAAATCTTAAATTCCTTAATCAGAATGCTGCTAACTCTTCTTTATTCAAGAGAAACAATGTCAGAGATTTCGACCTCTCCTTGAATGACAACCCCTCCATACCAGGCAACATTCTAGTAACCCTCCTCTGAACCCTTTCCAACAATTCAATGTCATTTCTAAGGTAAGGAGCCAAAGACTGAACACAATATTCCAAATGTGGCCTAACCAGTGACCTATATAATGAAATTATAATCTCTTTAGGCTTGTATTCAATATTTCTATAGATACAACCTAAAATCCTATTTGCCCTACTAGTAGCAACAGCACAATGATTGAATGGCTTCAGAGACTGATCAACTATTACACCAAGATCCCTTTCTTTCATGACATTGTTAAGGTTATTCCCATCCAAATTATACTTATAATTCAAATTATAATAACCCACATGCAATGTCTTGCATTTATTATAATTAAAACCCATCTGCCAATTATTTGCCCAACTCACTAAATGATCTAAATCCTTTTGTAAATCAGCAGCATTCTCTTTACAGCTAGCAACACCCAAGACCTTAATATCATCTGCAAATTTAAGTAATTTATTGACCATTCCTTCATATATGTCACTGATGTAAAGCAAAAAGAGCAAAGGTCCTAAGACTGAGCATTGAAGTACCCCACTTGAGACATTAATCCAGTTTGACTGAAATCCATTTGTAACAACCATCTGCTTTCTTCTATCCAGCCATTCTTCTATCCAATTAGCTAACTTATCCCTCACTCTTATAGAGATAATTTTCTTTAAAAGCCTTTTATGTGAAACCTTGTCAAATGCTTTCTGAAAATCTAGATACACCAAATTTACTCTTATCTTCATCTACATAAGCAGTAACCTTTTCAAAGAATGTTAAAAGACTTTTAAGGCAAGAATTTCCTTTAGTAAAACCACGTTGACTATCCAATAAAATTCTAATCTTTGTTAAATGGCTTTGTAAAGCATCTTTTATCAGACTTTCCAAAACCTTTTCCATAACTAATGGGCCTATAATTACTGGAACAGTTTTATCACCTCCCCTGAAAAGAGGAGTAACATTAGCTAACTTCCAATCCTCTGGTACCTGCCCACTATTCAAGGACTAACAAAAAATAGTAGCAAGTGGCTCCCATATCCAATCTTTAACATCCTTCAAACCTCTTGGGGAAATATTATCTGGCCCAGGCAACTTATCATTCTTTAAACTTCTCGAATTTTCCTTAACAAGCTCAGAATTAATGCAGTCATCTTGTTTCCATCTATCAACTGTTCAAGACTGGGAATACTGCTTAAATCTTTGTTAGTAAAAACAAAAGAAAAGCAAAATTTAATAACCCAGCCATCTCATAACCATCAGATACAAGCCTTCCTTTATCATCCCTCAAGGGTCCTACCCTCATCCTAACATTTTGTTTACCCTTAATGTATTTAAAGAAATCCTTACTGTTAATTTTTACATTTTCAGCCAATCTTTTCTCATACATCCTTTTTTGATGTCCTAATTTCCTATTTCACCAACTTTCTTGATCTTCTATAATCTTTGAAATCATACCAGTCAATTAAAATGCTTTTCTTTGATTTTATCTCTCACACTCTTTGTGAGCCAACCTGGTTTTTACTTGCAGCTACCCTTTTCTTTCTATAAGGAATATGTTTACCTTGAATAATTAACAATTTTCCACATATGGTCAGTGTCTCCAATAAATCAGTTGACCAATTCACAACACATAATTCTTGTCTCATCCCTTCAAAATTTGCTTTTTTGAAATTTGTAACCAAAATAACATTATTCCTTATCTCCATATGCAACAAAACATTGAACCTAATAGAGGAATAATCACTTGCACCCAGGTGTTCCCCATTTTCCACCTCTAGCATTCCCATGTTTGAAGTTAACAATAAATCTAAAATAGCATTGTTTCTAGTAGGTTCTTTGACTAATTGGTGAAGAAAGCCATCTTGAACAGTTTCCAAAAACGTTTCTTCCTCACAGTTTGACTCTAGCATTTCCAAATCCATATGACTGAACTAAAAATCACCCATAATTATGACGTCATTAAAGGTTGAAATCTTAGTCTCATTGTAAATTTTCTCACTAATTTCATCAGTATCATCTGGTGGTCTGTAACAAATTCCCATTAAATGCCTTTTCCCTTTATATCTGCTAATAGAAATCTCAACCTCAACAGGATGTAACTCACATTTTACATATAAAGCCACTCCTCCTCCCCCATCTTTAATACTCTATCCCTATTAAATAACTTATAACCCCGTATTTCA